CTCTAAGAAACAATAAGCTGTAAAACTGAGCCTGGAAAACATGCTCTGTCCTGCAGAGCTTACAGTCGAAAGCTCTGCTTTTGCAACACTTACCCGCACGCTCGCCCCGTGTGCCCGGGTAGTTCTGCTGAGGCTGGCAGCACTGCATGGGTGTTGACGTTTGACAGCTACGTGCTGCTTTGTGGTGGCTGAGGACACAGGAGTCCTCGCTGCGGTTAGGTGGCCACAGCAAGGTGTGCTTTTAAAGTCCTTTGAAGATCATGGTGCTGTTCTGTGTGGCCTTTAACCACCTGTGTGGCAGGCTGGGGAGTTCTCGGAGCTGCAGAGATCCTTGCAGAAGGAACAGAGGGCAGTGAGCAAGTGCCCTTTATCAGGGATATTTGAAGAGCGCTTCTGTGCCCTCCCCAGTCCCATCTCCTTCCTCAGTCTTCTATCTGTGAAGTGGTGTGTTGGGCTTGCCTTGTGGGTCACAGCTGTAGTGCCTTTCCTGTGATGCTCAGTCGCCTCTTCTTCCTGAGGTTAGAGAGGCCAATGTGTCTTCCCAGTACCAGTTGTCATCATGTTGGAAGTGCCCAGGTGAAGGTGCAGGGGTGAGATATGTGCAAGCTGTAATGCATGTTTCCTCTCAGCTTCTGAAGGCATCTGAGACCAGCGGCTGTGGGGAGGACTTGCAAGTGTCTAACTGCTCGGACAGCGAGCCCGTTTGGCCTGTGGTGAGTCCTGGAAGCTCCCTGTCCCCTGGGTGCAGCTTTCGTGTCCCTCAGGGAACGTGCAGCTGGTTGACGCTGTGCCCACCGCTTGCGGTCCAACTCTGAACTGCTGAGCGATGACCTTACAGCCGTGGCACGGGCCAGCAGCGTCACCTCTGTGGGTGAGGCAACATCCCTGGAAAAGTAGGTCACTTACAGCTGGGACTGCACTCGGGTGATTGCAGAAAGGAGAACAATGAGTGATGTAACAGCTCTGCTGGAAGGGACTCGGCAGCTCCTTCTCAGGGGGGTCCGTCTGGCTGGGAGGGCTGGCTCCCAAGGGTCCCGCAGGGAGAAGGTGCAGGAGGGTGGCCCTGGGATGGGGGGAGATGCCCATCAGCATCTCTCCATCTCCCCAGGAAACTGCTGCTGCCATCTGCCACGGGGAGAAGCGGCAGGGCCGCCCGCCAAACGGCGAAATGTTCGTGTGACTACAAGCCTGTGCGTTGGCAAGTGGCTGCCACCTCCAACAATACCTCTTGTAGTGCTCGCTTGTGGGCATGTACGCGCACACGCTCGCTCCCGCTGCGCAGCCCAGTGCCAGGAGCCCCGGGGACTCTGCCAGGAGGGAGAATTATCTTGGAGAGTGAATAGCTTGTGGGCAACTTGCAGGGGCTGGCTCGTAGGAAAAAATCTCAGGAAATCTGCAGCAGTATCAGAAGGGAGAGCAGCAGAGGCCGGGGGAAGATCCGCCGCTTGCCTTGGACACACCATGTGTCACCCTGCCCGCTGTGGTCGGTGGCACAGGTGTGCACTGGTAGTGTGACACATCTCACCAGTGCCCTCCCCGTGTGGCACTGCAGTCCCCTGGCCTCGCAGGAGGGTTTCCTCGCAGACCATTGGTGAACAGAGCCTCTGTTTTGCGAGCTCCCCGTGCCCAAGACCGTAGGGAATCCCAATTTCCTGAGCGCCCTGGTCTGCCGTGGCCCCAGCCTGTAGCTCTGCACAAACCACCTCTCAGCCTGTGCCTCTGCGCCTTGGGGAAG